TTATATATATTTTGTTAAACAAGAATTATGCTGCAAGTTTTTTTTTACATTTTCCTCTACTTGCTGATTTTAGACCAAGCTAAAATACTTTTATTATTTAACGAAAATGTCTGTTTTACAAAATAAATTCTAGTTTTATTATCATAAATAATTTTCAGTAGTTCCTTTTTTTCGTAATTTATTTTTTTTTTATTTATCTTATCTCGACTACTGCATTTATCGTGAAATTGTCAGTCAAGTCCATTCCTAACAGTCAATGCCTCTTATACTTTGGAAAACTAGTTCTATATCATTTAACATTTTATCCATTCTTTACATTCTACAACATGCTAACCATGTTATATGTGGAATCAACTATTACCAAAATTTATTACCAAAGTTTACAGAATACTATTACATTATGAATACTGCAATTTTACATCGCTTTCTCAACGAATGCCTGTCGATTGTCTAGCCAAAAATAAAAACACAATTTTTTTTTACTACAGGCTTAGGTACAAGTTTTATAATATTTTCTTATAATGTTTTAATCAATTCTGTTAGTAGGCACACCACTATCTAAAAATTCCTACAATAAGTTATTTTAATTATTTTTGAAAAGAGAAGTATTTTCTTTTGAAACACTTAAAAAAAAATCAATCAAGTAGACATAAATTGATTCCCTAATTTTTACCATTCTGCATAAACATTTTATTCCATATAATTATCCAAAATGATTCTTCAAAAGAAAACTAAAACAAAAACTCGTGCAGCTTGCGCGTCTCTAAAATAAACAACAAAAAAATGCTTTGCCTTATAAAATGCATCTCGAACTGATAAGCTTCGAACTGTTCCCAGCTCTGCGTCACCGAATATTAACTAAAAACTGTGGAGTTGCATTTTGTCGAATATAAGCACAGTAGCGAAAAACTTTTTAAAATAAAGATTTACCACAAAATAAGAAATTAAACTTTGTGCCTTTATTTGCTCTAAAACAATATTTGTGTGCTTTATACTGTTCTTATAGACGAAATCTTAGACATTTTTTTATATAAAAGATGTTTTTTTGTTCTTTGAATCTACTTTCAACATTTCTACGCTTCTGGCCTATATAGCAGATATTGCATTCTGAACAGTTTAACTTATAAATTGCCTGATAGTGTTTAAGGTTTTGTTTTTGTTTTTCTTTAAAAGTAAATTTGATATGATTTGAGACGGTTTAAATGCTACTGTTATATTATTTAATTTCTTATTATTTTATTTATTGTTTTTATTAAAGCTATTATATTGTTTCTTATTCTTTAGTTCTAATAGCTTAGTGCGAGAGCAAATGTTCAATGAACCATTGATTTATACGCTGCTAATTTATTTTGTATTGAATGTTTAAAATTATGAGATATTGTAACTTTTGTAAACATCAACTTTTTCAAGATATCAAATTCTAATTTCTGGTCTACTTTTAACTTTGTTAGAACTAAGAAATTTAATTTTACTATCTTCTCACTTCCTAAACTGAATTCTATATTATGAGGAACATTATTCAACTGATTTGAAAGAAGATAAGAACATGATCTACATTTTTATACAAGAGAATAATATATCAAGATGTTATAATTTTGAAAAGTGAAAAGCAGAATGTGAAAAGTTATAATGTTGAAAAACAATTATCTTTCATGCGTAGCTTAAAAAGTTCCAAAACTTTTATTGTTAAATGATAATGTTAATCTTACATTTTTGCATAATGTTGCTTTCATTTCTAAATTAATTGAATTATTGATACTAATCTTTATTTGGCATATTAGAAAACAAGTCTTAGTCACGTCAAAGGACACCAGAATTGAACTCATAAAAGGGGTGATATTCCTTAGGTTATTTGTAAGTTCAATGCAGTTTCTGCTATTTTTATGAAAATTATGTAATTTCCTTGAAAATCAAATAAAGGTAATTTTGTCAATAAGTGTAAAGTGGTTAATGATTTTTGTTTTGAATAATGTTTTATGTCAAAAGAAGACATATTACTTTATTTTTAAAATACAAAGAGAAAGTGAGTTCTAGTGTGAGAACATTTTTTAGCATTCGGTTCCAACTGTCCGAAATAAACTATTTCTTGTATCTTTAAATTATTTTAGCAATTTGAATATGCTTCATAACTTGGTAGTCTATTATTAAACAATCTGTATAAACTGTCAAAACAAACTCTGGCAATATTGGCGTATTAACAACTAGGAAGGAAACTGACTGCCACTATTTTCGTTGAAATATAAAACTAATTATGGCATCATTATTTTTCTCGTATTGATTAACTATTCAAGTTTTTAAATGACAACTTATTAAATGAGAACAAAGAATTAAATTCAATCGTTCAGAAGACTGTAAGTTAATTCAATTAAGTTTTCTGGCAACTAATTAAATTACCAATTCTCACATTCCCAGTAAGAATTAAATTAAATCATTTGTAAGACTGTAAGTCAAATAAATGGTCTGTTACTAACTTTTTCTTTATATTGTGGAAGGCCATGGTTGGAGTTGTTTATGAGCTGTCACATTAGTCCGCCGCCGCTGATCTTCCTGACGCAGTGCATATCTGGCGTTGAGGAATGAACTGCAACTGCATTCCATGTCTGCCAGCTGAGAATCTTCCATGGTCATGTCCAGGTCTCCAACCATAAACAAATAAAAATAAAAATAGCTTGATTAATAATATACTCATTATTATTAAAACTTTTTAATACTCAACTTTTGTTCGGAGGTAAACAAATCAGTTTGTCTGTGCTAGACATAAAAGTGCTGAGCTCGCTTATTCGGGTTATTTTCCAATCGTCCTTCAGCTTCTGCAATGGCCTTGTCCGGATCGACGACATCGGTGGCGGTGCGTCGCGTCGGAAAATGCTGAGGAACCAATAATCTGGAACTTGATTCATGACGTAACACATCTGGTATGTGACCAACTCTCGAATGGATTGTGTTTATCTTCTGCAGCGGCAAGCAGCGGGAAGCACCGTGATCCAAGTTTGTTTTCTGTGCTCAGCAATAACAGTTGCCTGAGCTCTCGCCATCTCTCTCGGAAAAAGCGGTGATGAGGTCATCATAAACGTCCGGCGTTCGGCGACAGTATTGATTACTCTATGTTTTTAAAGTCTTGCTTGTTTAATAATCGTCATCTTATCGTTGACTCGGTCCGACTCGGTCTTTAACTTCGTTGTATTTCGAAGAATTTCGTCACACTTCGTAGTCTTTCAGCCATTCGTGAATTGCGTATGCGCTGTTGCCTTGATCGTAGTTTCGTAGATTGCTCGTTTACAGGTTGTGTAACCAAATGAAGCTTGCGCACTAGATACATCTGCTACGGTTACGGATAGGCGAGGCGTTGGCTTCAAATACGATGATAATATCATCGCCATCTTTGTTTGTTTCGCTAAGTCAGCAATTTGTCGTTGTTTGATAGCGAATAAGTTATTAATATTTCTTTTCACTGTACTCTGACTGTACTGTACCTTTAGAATATTCAGAATTTGACTAGGCATTGGGTGACAACATTTTCATTTGTAGCTCCTACACACTTCGACGAAACAATGTCTTCTCTTCATTGTAATGTTTTCATTTTGAAGGCACTCACAAATTGTTTTATTGTTTATTTGTCCTTTAACGATCACTAATACACAGGAGAAATGATTCTTCTGATAGTTCAAGTCAGAAATTGGCACATTTATCACATTTCGCCATGTTGCGCAATAATGTCTTAATGTTCAAAAACTTCACTTTTCACTAATTTTGGGGCACACTGGCTTAATATTTGGATACATCCCACTTCTGATGTTAAAACTGAGTTATATTAGCCCCAAAATGAAACAATAAACCACCCTAGTTAACAACTTTTATTATTACGTCATACAACTTGTATGTTAAATAGAGACGAGTACGGTCGTACTGCTGTTCTCGTACTGCCGGAGTTGGCGCCGTCGCGACACCTCTCCCTGCAGTGTGTAGCTCGTAGCTTCGTAGCCTCCTGATCCACGCATACGCGGAGCAGTTACTTTGGCTCTGGATCGCTTCGGTCTTCCTGATATCGACTGATATCTAACACGGCCATCCTGTTCCGGAGCGTCCTCGCGCCGTCTCTGAAATATAGAAAGCAGGCAACAGAACTTTCTTAAGAAATGTTTTACTCGTTACTCATAATGAATAACGCACTTTGTTTATGTTTATTTTGCTTGATACTGTCCATATTGAACAGTCATTAATTTTACTTCTCAGAAATCATACTATTACTATAATTTCTTTCTTTCTACTGTTATGAAAGAATAATTATTATAAAACAAAAATAAACATAAAATTCAAAATACTTCAAAAGTGGTTACCTAATACAGTAATGAAATCATTGTTTTTTTTTCATTATGGGATTGCCATTATTTTACTATTCAGGAATAATAGTGAATATCACTATGATTCCCTCTTCTTAAATAATTTATAGTTCAATTACTATAAATCATCAGTCAGCACACATTTTTATTAAAGGTTAAAAAACAATAGCAAATAACTAATAATATATATAATATATATATATATATATATATATATATATATATATATATATATATATATATATATATATATATATATATATATATATATATATATATATATATATATATATATATATATATATATATATATATATATATATATATATATATATATCCTTCAAATCCTTCAATTTAATAGCTGTTATATAAGAAATTTCACTTCAGATATGCGCACATTGTGCACACACAATTTTTAATTATATGACCATGTTTTAAATACGTAAAGTAAAAATTTTAAGAATTTTAAGAATTATAATTTATATTACTTACCTATTAATTAGATTTTACATGTACTATACAAATCAGATCGTAAATTGTATAATAATGTTGTCATATCTTTTCCTAAAAGAAACAGATTTCTATTTCCGTTATTTTACTTTCTGAGTTGACATATATGCAATAGTATGTTCAAGATATTAATTGTAATAAATTTATTAGGGGTTACGTAAGACCACCTCGGCCTGTAAGTGATCTGTCACCTGTAAGAGAAAAGTATTTCGATGAAGAAGTATATAAGTTCTTCGAAGAAACTGAGCATAAAGGACAACGTGTCGATGCTCGACCAATGTCACCATGGCGAAATGAATCTATATATTACACACCTGAAGTTGATAGTAAGTACTTGTAGTAAATATCAAACCCCTCAAAAATGTACCTAAACTCTAACTCGCGAAAAGTAATATAGAATAAAGAAAGGGAAGGAGCTTCACTCCTCATCAAATCTTCCGCTCTATTGCGACTTTCCATTATATAAATAATAAATCGTAAATTAATTTCGGGTAATACGGGATACCATTTTTAATTTCCTATATAAATTGTAAGTAATAGTTTTCTTAATCTCAAATATTAGAAATATATGGTTAAAAGAGTCTTTTGTAAGAATTAGATAACTAGACAGGGGGTGAGTTTCCTACGATATTGTCTATGGGTATCTCGGAAACTACTGGAGATAGAGAGTCGGTTAAATGGGGAAAGAATTGCAGTTTTGTGGGGTCATAAATATGCGCCGTTGAGATTTTTGAGAAAGTTCATGGCTTACTAGATATTTTGAAAAAAAACAAATTTTGGCTATTTTAAAAATTGTCCCTAATTCCCTCGCTAATTCCAATATAATCTATTTTAGACAAGAAGTTTTCAGATAAAACTTGTAGATAATCACATCCCAAATGAGTTTGTGCTCTCCGATTTTTTTACTAAAGCCTGTCATTTTCGACATATGACACAAACATATGTTTTTTTAAATGGAAACCATAGTTGGTCATGACATCATAAAAAGCGCCATTTTTTAAGCTTTTCAGCGATATAGCTATGATATGTTTTTTTCATAAAATTACTGAGTTATAGCCAATTCTTATCTTTCTTGGCTCATTTCACTTAGCTGGCATGGTGTTCTTATTTGGTTATGACACAGATTACTAAATACAGATGCGTATGCCGGCGCGGTGAGCGACTTCAATAGCGTCTAAAATCACGCCTCTCGAGCAGCCGCTGTCGGCCGCTCGCGTAGTACGGGGTTAGTATTGTTCGATTTGTCGTCTGTGCGTGTGGCGGACGGTTTAATAGTACGTGTGCTTGTGTATTTCCAAATATGCCTGAGGACATAAATGTGTATATTTGCATTGTTCTACTAGAAGCAAATTATTATAAATAGTATACAAAAATATATAGAATTATCTAGAATTCTTCAAGTTAATCCAGATAATTCTAAATTTACCATAGGAGATTTCAAATTAACCTACCATTTTGACCCCTCCTCATTTGCAAAAAAGCGACAAAAAAATAATTTCATGGACAAATCATTTTCTATCGGTGACCATAAAACATCTTGAAATTTGTAGAAACGTTTTACATTGAGGACAAAAAAGCAGTTATATAGATGCGCACCTAAGCTCACTGACGCCCATATATTCATCCTACAAACTTTCAAAAGAGTGAAAGTAAAATTGGCCAGTCAGGTTTTAAGTAGGACTGTTGCAAGTGGTATGCAGGCTTACATGAGCTTGGGTGTACTATCACCTGATGCGCAAACGACTATCGAGGTTATAGAAAAGTTTGATAAACTATTTGATATTTTAAACTCATCAGAGGTCAATCATCCAAATAAATTTAAAAATTCTTTCCAGGGACTTGATTACCAGAATGATTTTTTGGAAGAAATGAAATTTTTTTTAAAAAACCTAAAAATTTATGATTCGAATAACAAAGATGTCACTCTAAGATGTAAATTCATCAAATGTTGGTTGATAACAATTAAATCGATTCAAATTCTTTGGCAGCGACTTGCTGGAGTCGGTTTTCGATATCTTAAAACTAGAAAAGTTAATCAGGATTGTCTGGAGAACTATTTCGGAAGTGTAAGACAACAAAGTGGTAATTCGGTTAATCCTACGCCTGTACAATTTGAAAGAACTTTCAGAAAATTGTTTTGTCAAAGTTTTTTGCATTCCGAATATATGAATTGTGAGGATGATTTGAGTGTTCTATTATCACAACTAAAAGAGACAAAAAATGTTTATGAAACAAAAGCTAAAATAACCAATAGTTCTCAAGCAATAACTTTACCCGATTATGATTATCGAAATGAAAATATCACGACCCAAAACGCCTTTGCATATGTTTGCGGATATTTAATAAATAAAGCGTTACACAAACATTCATGTGACGACTGTGTTAATTTTTCAAAAGAATCACAAACTGTCGATAAGACTAATTTATTTCTGAAACTCAAAGCTTATGACGAAAAGAAAGGTGCTTTTGGAGGTTTGAAATCTCCCTGTGAAGAATTCGTTCATTATATCTATAAATTAGACAAATATTTTTGTCGTTTTTGATGATGTTTCGGATGATGAAGGTATTTCCAACTTTTTTTTTCAAGAAATGAGTAAAATTACTTTTGTTCATCCTACTTTCCTAAAACATATTTAATTAAGTTATTTGTCAGATTAAGAATATATTATACTTTGAAATATGCAAATCGTGAGTTGAAAAGTGCTAAGAATACTGATAAAACTAATCGGAAACTTATGATATTGAGTCATTTGTAAAATCTTTTCAAATGTAAGGAGAATAATCAATTTTAGGCTAGTTTTGTATGAAGTAGGTAGTTTTATTTACACTATAATTTTATTTTTTTATATTTCCACTGCTGTATTTGTAGACGTTTGTTATTCCGTAACAGGGTTGGAAAAATGCATGATTTTTTTAAAAAAATCAGATTTTTTTTATTTAAATCAGATTTTTTGGATTTTAATTCAAAACAATATTTAAATCGGTTTTCCCAATGACTAGGACTTATTTCCAATTAAAGTCCTATCCTAAATGGCTAAATCTATACTCCGATACCGATAACATTAACAATTCTACGGGGCTTTGTGATTTTTCCACATCGGTCGCCAATATATTTCGCAAAATAGTCGTTTGCTTCAGATGAAAAGTATTTTTTTCAAACGTCTCAAAAGTATTAATTTTTGTCATTTTAACGCCTAGGCATAAAAGTAAAGCACTGTTCCGCCTAAGCACAAAAGTACAAAAATATATTATTAAACTGATAAACTGATATTAAGTGTCAAATTCAACGAGTGTACAAATTGTTGCTCGATTACTGTTTATATTATTTGGTAATGTTTGAAATTAATTAAAAATTATTTTGTAATGTTTTTAAAAATAGTATAGCCTTCATTCGAGTAAAAATTTACTTTTTGTGCCTCTCTTGTACCGTCGGAATAGCTTTTTACGATGGTCCTTCAAAGGTACAGCATCGTCAAAAAAAAGAATAATTTTTACTCCTAATAAAACAATACACTATTGTTCGGAAATAATCTTAAGTCAAGAATGAAATTAGTATGTATTACCTAATGTCAAAGTGTAAAGTACTTACTGCAGATCAAAATGTCGGTAGGAATTTGGAAACAACCGTTTCAAAAAAAAAATAAAACAACATATTTTCTGACAACGAATATAGATTCTCGGGAAAGAAGATATAGTCTCTATATGTATTAGAAGAACCTAGTTCTGCACTAGACTTTGCGAATGATATGTATTCGAACAGCGAATTTTTGTCACTTATACATAAATTTTAAATAAATCCCTTGCTTTTAGCGATCTAATGGATTCACACGAAATTAGTTCAAAATCGGTCCAACAATTAAATTGATGAATAGATATTTTTATAGTTATATAACATTTAAAATTTTTGTCGATTTATTATCTGTTATATCTGTTATAGAAATATTTTCTTTTTATAGTTTTCTAGGACACATTTTTTGCAACTTTTACAGTTATTTTTTGATTTATAATAAAGTTTCAATAAAATTATTTTTTTTTTTTTTATTTAAAATCACATGATTAAAAATTAAAAAATCACTTTGATTTAAATCACGATTTAATTCATGCCAACCCTGTTCCGTAATCACTACTTTTTCACAAACTGATGAATTTAACAATGTTGATAATTTACATAGAGACTGTCTCGAATTAACCGAAAATTGTCCTGATTTCTAGGATCAACTTGTTAAATTTATCAGGCTGTTAAAGAGATTGACGAATACAACCGTTAGGATAATAAAGCCAGTTAATTTGATATTTTAGTTGTTTTTCTGATCGGGATGGTGCAAATTACTAGTATCCTTGTTTTACACGCCAAACGTTCTACCCATGGTGCAAAAAACGCGCGCCATATACCGGTCGGTCCCGGCCTTTGTGCGTCGCGACACAAAGCGGCCGACTAGTCCTTTCGCATCTGTATTTAGTAATCTGTGGTTATGATTCATAACTTATAAAAAGACAAAATATATTATTAAACGACTCTTTACAATTTACATTACACAACTAAAACTTAAAAAAGTAATATCATTCAGAATGAAGTATTCTGAATGAAGTAGTAGTATTCTTAATATTAAAAACAAACACACTCCAAAGGGAATTTGAACTTCTTTAAAAACGAAGTTACGGAGTATAGTTCTGAAATTTACTAACCCTTAATTACCTTATAGGGACACTTTCTGTAGAATATCCGTTGGATTCCCCACCTCCAAGACCATTTGTTCCTGGAGTATCATCTCCTGTAACGCCGCCTTGCCAACTTCCAATACAACGTCCAGGTGGCTATGATACACCGCATGATTATGGTGCTCAATTTGATATGTTGCCCGATCATTATCCTCCAGACCAACGAGTGAGTTGAATATTCATTTTTCAATATAAAGGGTGTCTAAAGATTTATTTCGAATTTTAAATAGTGTTATTTTATAATATGATTTTAGAACCATATCAAAATTTTCATATTTCATTACATTAACATGCGAACCATAAACTTAAAAACATAGTGTATCTTTGTCCGGTGGATGATTCTACAGGTAAAAATAAAACAAAAAGTTCCTATAAACATATACCCAAAACAAAACGCTTAAGAAATTAGAGCCCTCAAAAGGTTAAATAAAAAATAAAAATAATATGTTTTGTTTATTTTTAAGGACATTAGTAAACTGTTTTTCTTCAAATATGCTACTCTTACACACATTTCAATGTCAAAGCGAATGGACATGTATAAAATTCCGTAACAACCATGAAAGGATATTTTCCATTAAGGTAGAGATTACTACTGATGGTACTTCTTTTATCCCTATAGATAAAGTAATTTCAACCAAGGGCGGATACAGAAATTTATTTTAAGGGGGGGCAAACAAAAAGGACTGTATAATATGCTTTTTAAAACGCACAACTAGGCACCCTTTCGGTACGGATTTTAATCTTTTTGAAATCCCACGTTTTTTCTTATAATTAGTGACAAATATCCTGTTAAAACTTCTACATAATTTTTTTTTTATTTTTGTATTTTTTGATAAAAGTACCTGTGATATACAGGGTGTCCCAGGCTGAGCGTGCATTAGAAGTTTCTAGAGAATTACAATATCTAGCTCGGAGATTTTTTGCACATCATAGTTTCACAACGAGATCAATTTTCAATATGGCGGCACTTCCGGAAATACCGGAAATTGACAGGAACTTTCTTATTTTAAATGGATGCCCCATTTTTTATTATGTACTTAAATTCTATGTAAAATTTTATAAATTTTGATATTAAACACTCTATATCTAACATTAACCGTTTTTGAGAAAAAAAATATTTAAAATTTTTGAACGAAAAAAACTGCCTGTCAAAAATATGTGTATAGCCTAAACGTCAAATTTAGTGATTACCACAGCCACTGTGCCATAAAGAAAAATCATGCGGCTATCTATTTCAAGAATTAAATTGTTCGAATGTCATATAATAATGGCCGCAGCTGTCATAGAATTGAGCGATTAAAAAAGTATCATAAATTATTTTTTCCAAATGAAACCCACTTTTTTTTATTTCACTAGTGAAAAGGCTTTTCAATTCGTTACTTTTTAACTATACATGTTCCTATACCTAAAATAAATCGTTTTTGAGTTATTTAAGATTTAGTTTTAAAGCGTATATTTTTCTTGATTTTAACAAGTAGCCTATGACTTTAAACGCCCAGTGAGGCCAAACAATAGATCTGGCCATGTCATATTGTGACGCTTTGTTCAAAAAGCAGCATCATTTTCGAGCCAACTTTGCGCTGTTTTTTTTTCGATCATACGGAATATTATGAATAATATCAACTATTATTTATCACTAAAGAGCGAAAATACGAGATGTATTTTTATAAATACACTTTTTAAACTCTTAAGCAGGCAGTATTTATACTATAGGAAATTCAAATAATTCGTTTTCTGACCGATGGAAATAAATTGTCTGGCCGTTTGACACTTAATGTCAAAGGAAGGTAGATAACATCTAGAAAAATATAGGTTTTCAAACTCAATCTTAAATAACTTAAAAATGATTTATTTTAGGTATAGGAACATGTATAGTTAAAAAGTAACGAATTGAAAAACCTGTAGTGCGACCTGGTTACCCAACAATTGTTTGTTTAATATTTCATTAATTATTGCAACAACAAAAGCATAGCATACCATCTTTTGTAACTAGGTTAGCCAATTCGAATAAATGTATTCAAAGGGTGAACATGTGTTTGATTTTCCCGTATTGGAATGAGACGACATCACATGGCGATCCTGCCTAAGGGCCTTAATTTAAATAAGTTTAGTTAAACAGTATGGTCAAAAGTGAATGTGAAAAAGTGAAAATAGTGAAACAAAATAAACTAATTTACCATGGGAAAGACAAATTCTAAACATTCGGAACTAACCGATAATGGTGTGGTCAACTCCAACTTCATCGTAGAACAGGAGAGCATACAAGTGCCAACAGATGTTCGAGTACTACTGTACATTGTAGTAGCAGTTGTGGTAATTTTACTTCTACTAAAATTACATAAAGCGTACCGAAGGGGGCTCCGAAAAGACTTATCCAGAAGCATGGTCCTTCGAACCCAAGCAGTAGATGTTTAGTGCGAGCAGTAGTTATTGATGGACAGTGTTGATGGTATGTGAATATACAATTTTTTGCGTTGTTTTTATAGCCTTTATTTAACATTTATACTCGGTGTGAACGTTTTATTTTTATTTTTTGCATGAAATTACATGAATTTATTACAATATGAAAATTCTTACGTATATTTAATTATTACCTACACAAAAAAAAACTTCGCTATTTTAACCAAAAATGTACAACATTTTTTATTTTTTTAATTAAAAAGAAAGAAATTCTATTAGTTATGAATTAGTTAATTACTTTTTGTTATGTTTATAAGGATAAGAAGTTTTTTTTTGTTTTTGGTATTAAATAAGGGATATTGTGTTTTTTTTGTTTTTTATAATTTTTTTATTTCTTACTTTTGTATAATTTATGTCTGATCATTGGGAAGGGATCCTTGCCAAGCTACTAAGTTTAAGTAATCTCGTTAGAAACGAATCAAAACGCGTTCTTAAAAAACAAATACCTAAGAGTGATACAATTAAAAATGAAGTCCAAGCAAATTTATTGGAGTACTTTAATAATTTTGTTAAATTAGTACGATTTGTTTATCCATCACTTAATAAAGAACAGGAAATTTACATTAAAAAACTTTTTACTTCGTTGAGAGATAGAGTCATAAGATCATATCAGGTTTTAAAAGTACCCTACAAAGTTCCAACTTCGTATTTGGAATATATAAATCTAGAAATATTTGACGAAGAATTCGAGGAAAGTGAAGATAAAGAAGAGTCTTCTGAATCAGAGGCAATCCCAGAACAAAATATTCCTAAAATAAAACTTGAAAACATGGCTATGTCAAAAACAGAATTTTTCAATTTTGCGAGTAAAATTTTTCCCAACGAATTCGACGGTTCTCCAAGTAAATTACAGTCCGTTATAGACTCCTTAAATTTACTGCGCGTAAATTGCGAAAACCACGAAAATAATGCGGTGGCCTATGTGAAAACGAGACTGGTTGGAAAAGCACGTGATTTAATTGATGATAACGATAATCTGGATACCATAATTAATAAGCTACGAACACGCATTAAAACAGAAAGTTCTCATATGGTAACAGCAAAAATATTTTCTTTAAAACAGCAACATAAAGATTCCACAAGATATGCCACAGAGATTGAAGTTCTAACAGAAACCCTGAAAAGAGCCTATATAAATGAAGGAGTGCCCATAGCAGTAGCTGAATCCTATACGACAAATACGATAGTCAAAGCTCTAAGAACAAACAGTAATTCCGAGAAAGTAAAACTAATAATGGAGGCTGGCAATTTCACCAACTGCGAGGAAGCAATTTCTAAATTTATAACTATTAGTGGAGATACTACGCCAGATAGTAGCACAATCTTTTATACAAGAAATTCTCAGCGTTACAGAGCTGGAAACAGGCATCATAGAGGGCATCAAAGTCGCGGAAGAGGACACTATTCAGAGAACTATACTAATAATAGTGACTATAGACCCACCCAGAGATATTTAAATGCAAATCAACAGTACCATAATCATCATGGTCAATATAATAGAGGTCGAGGAAACTCTAGGCCTAATCATAGAGGACAGTTTCCTAGATATGTCAGGCATTACACTCAGGAAGAGTCGGGAAACGTACAGGACCCCCAGCCAGGTCCACTGGGGTCGCTATAAAAATATTCCACATGGACCTATCACTTTCGAACTTTGTTGTAGTTCAAACTAGCATGACAGATAATCGCAAAATTACTTTATTAGTTGATACAGGTGCGGATATATCTTTATTTAAAAATTTTAAAATTTCTCCTAAACAATTTATTAATGAATATAACATAAGCAATATTAAAGGTATTACAGATGGCTCGACGAGTTCTTTAGGCACAACTAATACCCAAATTTTGATTAATAATTATGCAATAAATCACTCGTTTCATATAGTTGAGCAAAACTTTCCAATACCAGCTGACGGAATTTTAGGGCGAGACTTTATTTCGAAATATCAATGTCAATTAGATTATGCTAACTGGACATTAACACTACAAATTTTTAACGAAAAAACAACATTGCCAATATTTTCATGTCCAGAAGAGGAATCTTTGGTCATCCCACCTAGGTGTGAGGTCATAAGGTATATTAAAAAATTCACGCAACTAAAGACTGATTCTGTTATTTTGAATACTGAAATCGCCGACGGAGTTTTTATTGCTGGTTCAATTGTTTCAAAATCAAATCCAATAGTTAGACTTTTAAATACAACATTTGAAAGTGTCACAATAAAAAAACGCTGACATACAGTTTTCCAATCTAAAAAATTTTTATGTTTACTCAATTAACCTGGAACTAAATAATAGAGAATCAAATTTATTACAACAGTTAAGCAAAAACATCCCTGACTTTGCAAAAAACGATACTTTTAATTTATGTAAAGAATTTTCAGATATTTTTTGTTTATCATCTGATAAATTAACAAAAAACAACTTTTATGAAGAAAAACTTAAATTGTTTGATTCTACCCCAGTTTATATAAAAAATTACGGCACGCCGACACAAACAAATGAAATAAATTGTCAAGTCAACAAATTGCTGGAAAATTAAATAATCGAACCATCAACAGCGGAATATAATAGTCCGATTTTATTAGTACCTAAAAAGTCAACTGATGACCAAAATAAATGGCAATTAGTCATTGACTATAGACAGGTAAACAAGAAACTAAGTGCAGATAAGTTTCCTCTACCTAGAATAGATGACAGCCTTGA